CCAAGGCCGCCTCGGGGATATCGCCCAATCGCTCGACCGTAAATCCATCCCCGCCGTCGGTTTCGTCGGTTTCATCGGCGAAAACGTCGCGGGTGCCGTGGGCGGCGCGAAAGTCGTCCGCGGCGCTTCGCTGATCCTCATTTCCCGTCGGGTCGTAGTTGATCAGCCCTTTGATCTGCTTGAGCTTGCGATCGACCAGCTTCTTTTGCTTCTTTTTGAGCTCTTTGGAGGACTTCTTTCGGATCTCAAGCAGCTCCTGCGCGATCCGCGTGATGCCCTCGGGGCTGTCGAAGTCAAATTTTAACTCCGCCTCGCTGGCGACATCGGAGACGTCGTCGGGGAGATCGTCCGCGTTTGCATCGCCCACCGAGGAGAGCCCCTGCTCCTTCAAAAGCTGCTCTCGCCAGCGAAGCAGACGCCGGAGGTCGGCCTTCCCGACCTGCTGGAGATCGCCGCAGAGGTACACCAACTCTTTTTTGGAGCTTTTGGAGGCCAAAAACGCCTTATCGGCGTCGTTGGCAAAGCGCAATTCGTGATGAGTGGCGAGAAACGTCTTGGGATCCTCGGCGGCGACGAACTCCGCGAAGTTCGCCACGCGATAGGTGATGGTGGCGAACTCCTCATAGCCCGCCGGGACGTTCGACCGCGGGACGACCAAGGCCCCGGACGGGGTTAAAATTTTCTCCTCCCCGACGTCGGAGAAGACGCGCTGGGGGTGGAAAATCGCGGGGTCGATATGCTTCGGGGCCTTAAACCCCGCGCACACCACAAAAATCTCCGCCGATTCCATGCGCGAGGCCAGCGGCTTCGTCGCCTCGACTTTCCCAAACAGCTGCGTGAGGACCCAGAGCAGTTTTTGAAAGTCCTGTGAGCGAAAGACCTTGGTGACGAAATACCCCCCGGGCTTTAACACCCCCGCGGCGACCTTCGCGGCGGCCAAGACGAGCGCGTTCTGCTCGAACAAATCGCGCGCCCAAACCCCGCCGACGTTCGGCGCGCCGTCGTGCAAAACGCAATCCGCCAGGGCCCCCCGCAGGCCCCGCGTGAGGGTCCGCATCGTCCGCTCGTCGGTGATGTCCCCGACGAACGTTTTGCAGCCGCGGATCGGGGCGATCGCAGCGAGGTCGACACCGATGATTTGGGCCCCGACCGGCATGTACTTCGCCGCGACCTGCAGCCACCCCCCCGGGGCCGCGCACAAATCCACCAACACGCGCGATTTGGCGAGAAAATCGAACTTTCGGTTGAGTTGGATGAGTTTGAAGGCGGACCGCGCGCGGTAGCCCTGGTCCTTCGCCAGGCGGTAGTAGGCGTCGAGACGCGTCTTGGCCTTCTTCGTTTTCGTCCCCATCGCGGAAAATAATGGGAAATATTGATAGATAGATAGATAAAGGAGGGGGGGGGGGGAGGGGGGAAGGAGATCTAGAAGAATTCAATCACGCCGGGGATCAAACTGGATATGGCTATCAATGCGTATTTCTTTCTATCCACCTACCTACCTATATATATATATATATATATGTGTCTGTGTGATACTAATAGCAAAGCAAAAAAAACGCACCGGTACGGGCTACCGCCACGGTGAAACAGACCAAAAGGGGAGAAGCAAATTACAGCGGTGTGGATTAATTCGCCAGGAAGGGAAAGTCAACAAATTAAAAAAAAGGAAAAGGGACATACCCGGAAAACCTCGAATACTTCTGAAACAGAATAAAATGACAATAATTAAGTGTAAGAATGACCCTCCCCAGAAAAAAATATAAGAAGGACAACCTCCAAAAAACCTCAGTGGAAGGGGGAATCGTTTATCCAAAAAGACCGATCCTATTATCCGATCCATCGGCGGCACTAGAAATGATTCGGCTTTAAAAAAATACCTATAATTTCAGCTTTTCGTCTGCATCCCCCTCCCCCCTAAACTTCCTTCCTCTGCTCTACATGAACTTCTGATCGAGGAAGTGAAAAAGCTCACCAATCTAGAGGGATGGATATTGCCGCCAAAGCCGATATGCCTCCGCGATGAGGATCTCCAGCCATAAACTTTCTTCTTTTGGAGGCTCCTCAAACCCCATCGCGGCCTTACCGCCCTCCTCGGGGGGGATGGATCGTTTAGGATGCCCTTCCGCGGGAAATTTCGCGTAGTCGAACGGGTTCTTCATAATCAACATCACCTGATCCATCGTCGAGCCCAAAAGGGCGGAACGCAAATTCATCACCAACGCCGCGCAAATATAAAGATGAAACCGAAGCAAGTGGTCATCGCCGACGGCGAAATAGGTATCCCACAGACGTAGAAGCAGAGGCAGCGGGAGCTCCCGCACGAGCAGGCAGTGAATCCACTGAAAGCAGCTATCCAAAAGACGAACCCCGCTTTGGCTCAAAAATGTGAATAAAATCGGGTCGGCTGTGGCCAAAATCCCCTCCAGCCGCGTCGCGCTCTTAATCAAGCCTTTTTGTCCGGGGACGTAATTGTCTTGAAGCAACGACAGCACCCGGCTCGCACACCAATAAGTATCCGCCTCGATTTGTAAAAGATCGGCCTCGGGCAAATCCACGAGGGCGGCGTTCAGACGATCCACACCCCACCCCTGAAGGGTCGGGCCCGTAATAATCCCCGGGGCGGTCAAATCCCGCAAAATTCCCTCATCCGCCGCCTCCGCGGTGGGAAAGGACGAATCTTGCTCGAACGCGCGCTGGCGAAGGCCGTCGGCGAGGAAAATTTGGAAAAAAACGCCGAGAAGGTCGTCCATGCCCTGCACATACCCCACCGCGGGATGCCGTTGGGACCAGAGAAACAAACTTCGCGCCATCGCGGCGAGGGTGCGGCCGCAGTGGTAGACGGAGGCCCGATGCCGCGGGAGGTCGCGCGCGATTTGGTGGAGGATGGCCTTTTCGTGCGGAATCAAACTCGACCCCCCCCCTGAGGTTGAGAGGGAAAAGGAAAAGACCCCGCTCGTCGAGGCCTCCCCCGCGGCGTCGTGCAGGTCGCCCTCCCCGCGCCGGGCGCTGATTTGCGCGATGTGGGCCTCCACCTCGGAGAGTTGGATGTATTGGTGGATGTACTCCTCGTAGATGGCCCGCTTTCGCAGAAGTTCGTGGGGCTGGCGGCGGAGAGTGGGGGGGGTGTAGCCCAAAAGAAGCCGCCAGGCCGCCGGGCGGAGCCCCTCCGGCCGACAGCCCCCCCAAATCATCGACCGAAGCGTCTTGGCCTCATCGCAGGAGGCCCCGAGGGGGATGGAAAAGGTCATAAAGGCCGAACAAGACAAAAAAAGGGCCAACAGAGACGTCGACGGCCCTCCTTTTTCACCTTCATAGCCCTGGGCAATCACCGAGGACAACGGCAGCACCCGCAGAAGAGGGAAACGCCGCCCGAGGGGTGGTTCGTCCGTTCGCGGAACTTCCCCTTTTCCGACGCCGCTCGCCGCCGTTGGCTTCGGCCGCGCGGTGCGCACGGCTCGGCCAGGGCCAAAACGGGGCCACCCCTGCGTAAAATTTAAAAAAACACGCGCCGCGTCGGCCATCCACACACACACAATATAAATATATAGATAAATATTTATATATGGCTATAGATATAGATATCGATCGGTGTGGCAAAAAGACCCTTACGGAGTCCCAAAACTTAACAGGAAACGTTAAGAACCCTGGTTAAAAGGTTAAGGGAAAGGCTGGGGGATGTCCTTGAAAATCTATGTAATACAGCTTTTGTGAATGTGAAATATATGTATATTAACATATACACACTTATATAAAGAGAAAAGGATATACATGTATAAACACATGCTTAAAGGTTTTGAAAGCGTAAAAATTAATTTTATTAAACAATAAAGAAGAGTAACCAAAGAAAGAGCAGACACAATAGAAAAAAGGAAGATAACTTTCATATTGAAGCACTTTTTAGTATTCAAGAATCTTTTACAACTTCTGCTTTTATTATCATTTATAATCAAAAGCCCTTCAAAATTACCTATAGTAACTAATAGTTTTTTTTCCTAAATGGGCGCTGACGATTTGTAAAACAAACCCTTTACCAGCAATGCAACCGTACAATAAAAAAGTGCCCTCAATCTCGCCACCTATTTCCATATTTATTTTTCCGTAACGTATAAAAAAGGAACTCTTCCTGGATTCTTAGCAATACCCTTAGAAAATGAAAAAAAACGACACAGACCATCGATCATGATATCGAACAGGATAAATCAGGCCTCTTTTACTATTCCCTTTTTCCACACAATAATTTAAGGAAAACAGTAAACGAAAAGATGAAAACATAAATAATAATAATAATAAGACTCCTCATTCTCCCTCTTATATGCTCTATTATCCCCACATAACCTGAGATAAACATAGAAGGAGAAATACCTTTCGCCATCAAGCAATGCTGATTGCACTGTGAAAATCAACTACATCACTATATATTATTTATTTTGAACTCATTTGAACTAGTATCAAGACAAAATATAAATGTATGCATAACCATATATAGGCGTAAACCTACTTTCCCCTCCTGTTTATCTATGATTTCCCCTTAGTTCTATTTTTTTCTGAGTATAGTCTGTAGTAATGGCTATGGGAAAGGAATCTAGATAAAGCGAAGACATGATAGTCACAGGTAATAAAGATAATTACATCAATATTAAAAATTACTTTTATTATTTTTATTTTCACCTTCACTCGGAAACCTTTCTGGAAGACCGAATCAATATATATAGATATATATATATATCTGTGTGTGGGTGAAAAAAAATATGTAACTCAACTTTTACATTGTGGGGCTTCCTTTGTCATAGTTAATAATTATTATTATTTACATGATATGAACACGCCTTCGATTTTCATTTAGAAAGTAGAAAAATAGGATATTCTCTTTCCATTTAAAAATGTAAGTGTGCACATTGAAATATAAGAACAAGACCGTAATGAAACCAAAGAAAGCCTACATGAGAAAATACAATCATATGTATAGACTTACATATATATGAATATAGATATATTTATGAATATGTGAAAGTTTCATCCCTCAGCACACCCTTGGTTTAAGAACTATCCTCCCCATCAAACGCGTAGTACGCCTTATTATGCATGATTAACTCATTCCCCACGAAATAAAAACTATCACTGACAGTTTCGAACGGGCTTTCAATCATCGCCTCCTGCCAGGCTGGATCGAGTTTAGGCATGTCGTAAATCGACTCCCACGTGTTCATCGAATGGGGGATGCAAAACCCGAAGGAAAAATCAAAGGATTTGATCAGAGTATCGCGGAAATAATGACGCTCGATCATGCGAAAATTCGGGACGGGGGTGTCGCCGTTGACGCCGAAAACTACCTTCGCCCCGACTGTCCGCAAACGAAGAAAATCGGGGGAAAAGCGATAATGAATCGTCCGCGCGGCCTCCACCTCCTCCGTAGATAACGCGGCCAGGCTCAACGATAACGCCTCATGGCTGCTAGGGTCCCGCTCGACGTCAAAAATTTCGTTATTCGTCTCCATATCGCGAATGGTAAAGCGATAGAACTCAATTTCGTAGGTATTCGCGGTAATCGGGCAGAGAAAGCCGGCCGTCGGGGACGTAAAGGAAAGAACCGTCTGCGGGGTCGGCGCGGC